AGTACATCCAATCAGAGTGGATCTGGGAGTTTTTGCTGCGCCATGATGGGGGTCTCCCCCCGGGAGGACCCTGCACCCCCTGAGGCCCAGGGGCAGCCGGGCCAGACCTGGGTGCACAAGGAGCCAGCCCTGCCTCTGCCCAGTCAGTGCGCCCCCTCTGGCAGGAAGCCAGCTTGTTCCAGTGTTTCCCATGCCAGAGACAACAGGCTGTGACACCATACTCAATGGCCAAACTGAGCTAAGCCGTGTGCGAAGCGCTGGGCATGTGGCTGCCTCACAGTGCTGACTCTCTCCACTCCGAGATGCTCACAGTGTTAAGCCGGTAATGGATACAATGATGATGATGATAATAAACAATAATAAACACAATAATAAAGCAGCTAACGTTTACTGGAGCAGACCAAGCATTGGGTCCAGGATGAGACATTAGCTCTCCTGTTGGATCCACACCAGCCATGAGTGAGGGGCCCTTTAGGTCCTGCATCACACACGAGGAACCTTGCTGACATGACCAGCCATGGCAACATGCAGAGACCTGAGGTGATGCTGGGGCGGCCCCTGGCAGTCTGTTCCCAGGCCATCACCCTCCACCGTGAGCGAGCCATCCTTTGTTTTGGACACAGGGCAGCCCAAGCAACAGCAGCCAGGAGACATGGCCCAAGGGAGGGTCAGGCCATGGCCCCACCCGTTCTGCTCTCCTCAGTGCCAGGAGAGGAGGCCGAGGTCCTGCAGGGGCCAGGGCTGGGTGGTGCTCCCTGCTGTCCTGTGCTCCCTGCTGCCTGGTGCTCCCAGCTGCCTGATGCTCCCTGCTGCCCTGTACACCCTGCTGCCCTGTACACCCTGCTGCCTTGTGCTCAGGGGCAGGTGACGGGACCACCTGGAGCACCTAGCAGGAGGCCAACCTGGAGAGGCACGTCCTGCCACCCTGTGGACACGGGGAGAGAGGGAGGGAGGACGATCCTCTGGCCACAGGGAGGTGGCAGCTCCTGGGCCTTCTGGACAGAGTCTCTCGGCAGCTCCCCCCGCTGCCTGGGGCTGGGACACTGGGGACCAGGCTGAGCCAGGAGGGCTGGGGAAGGGCATCAGGGAGAGCCTTGGCCTCTTGGGCTTAGGCGGTTCCTTGCTGCTCTCAGTCCTGCACACCCTGAGAAGATGCATCCTGCAGCCTGAGGGTGAGGGTAGGAAAGAACCAGGGGAGGGGGGACTGTTCCAGAGCCCTGGGCTGCAGCCAGAAGGCCCCGTGGCCCCTCCCCAAGGCAGTGAGCTGCTTCTGAAATGTGGGTTTCATCATGCCACTTCCCCAGCTGAATTCCTGTGGGGCACGGCTACAGAGCTTGGACAGGTTCAAGCCTCAGGCTGATGAGAGGACACAGTCCTCTCATGGCCACGTGCAAATCCCCACGTGGAGGGCAGAGCCTCCCAGCACCGTTATAGCCAACAGCTGTGGTTGTGAGCTTGAACCTGTGGTCCGAACACGTGGCCCCACGTGCCTGAGTGATATCAGCTGCAAGTAAACAAAACCGGATCAGGTGCATGCAGTTGAGTAGGATCGAAACCCACGAGAATGTTGTAAACATCTTAACCACGAACTCACTTTGCCTCATGGAATCGGCTGTAAAATAAAGACACGGCTGGTGGGCCGTGGTGCTGTCTCACAGAGAAGCAGCGTCTCACGGAGATACAGCGTTCATTCTCTTGTCTGTCTTTTCTCAATCCTTCACCGCCCCCTCTCAGGTTCACCCTAGGCCGTGCTGGCGCAGCACCGATCCCCAGTGACCCTTCACAAGGTCAAGTCTTCTTCCTCAGCAGGCAGAGTCAAGGTGCTCCTGGTTCTCCTCAGGCTTCCCCACTTCCCAGCCTCCTCGCCCCCTCCTCCAGCGATGCATTCCTGCTTGGACCCCCTGCACCCAGAACCGAGGGTTCAGATAGGCTTCTGCTGGAGGAGGGAGGGCAGGTTCCAATGTTAAGACGCTCTCCTGCCCTTCTCCAAGGCGGGAGAACCAAACACTAAGGGGTGCTGTACGTTTTACATGGAACGATGGACTTTTCCTTCCTACCCGAGAGACACTGATCAACATAAGCATGTTATTTGCATTAAAAAAGCAAGCCTTCTTATAAATATTTGTCACATATGCCCTAAAAAGTGGCTGAGATGGAGGTTAATTGGACTTTTATCTCCTTTTTTCTTTAAACCTTCAGGGTTAAGTCCTGGGATCCCTCCCTACGCAGGGACCACAAATCCGGGATAAACCCAAGGAGTGAGACTGACTGAAGTATAGCGCTATGACCATGAGTGACATTTCTTCTTCCCTTTCTCTTTCTTCTTCTTCTTCTTCTTCTTCTTCTTCTTCTTCTTCTTCTTCTTCTTCTTCTTCTTCTTCTTCTTCTTCTTCTTCTTCTTCTTCTTCTTCTTCTTCTTTCCCATCTCTGCTAACTGTCCCACACGGAATAAATATCTGCAGTCAACTCGGAGGCCTCGGCATCACATCTTCCTGCCCCTTTCCAGGTCACACGTCACTCCGGCAACAGAGTCTCACTCATTCCCACGGCATCCACGAGGGACAGGCCTCCTGCTCACAGCACTGCCCCAGGGCGAGGTCCGCACAGGGGGCGAAGCACTTTAAAAAGATCCGACATGTCGGGCCTCAGGAGTGTTTCTGACGCTTGGAGACAAGCCTCTCTGAAAAGTGAGGGCTAATGAATGCCACCAGACACTCAGGTTTTAAAAATTTCATAATATTCGTATAAAAGCAATTATCTGTATTGCAAATTCCAGAAAGGATTGAAAATCACACACACACACACACACACACACACACACACACACACACACACAATCTTACTTCCACAAGCCCGAGGTAATGACTCTAAAAAATTCCCACCGTACCTGTCAATTTCTTGCCTACAAAGATATAGAGGACACACAGTCAGTTTTTAAAAAATAAAATTGGGATCCTATCACACAGGTCTCTCTCAATTTGGAAAACGTTTGCATGTTATGGACTAGGCTAATCATATATATTTTTTAAACATATTTTTATTGACTTCAGAGAGAGAAAGGGAGAGGGAGAAATAGAAACATTAATAATGAAAGAGAATCATAGATCGGCTGCCTCTTGCACGCTCCACACGGGGGATGGAGCCCGCATTCTGGGCATGTGCCCTGACTGGGAATGGAACCGTGACCTCCTGTTTGTGGGTTCAGGCTCAATCACTGAGCCACACCGGCCAGGCGAGGCTGTCACATTTCTGTTGGAGGAAGGAATTGAGGGCTTCCACACTGTGATGGCCTCATAAACAAAGCTGGGCCGGTCTGGCGTGTTCACATTCCGAAGCTTTGTGTCTGCCTGGACCAGTCAACCTGCTGCAAGCGCCAGCGCTGGAGAGAGGCCCCAGCGAGGGCACCTCCCGTGCGACGAGCTGAGCGTGAAGTTGCCTTCATCTTCCCGGCACCTCGCAGCCGCGGGCACAGAGGACGCTCACCTGCTCTGCGCTGGGGCCCAGCCGGTCTTTCGACTTCACATCACGGCTCATGTCTCCTGACAAAAAGAGAACACCTTTTCAGTCAGACAGAAGGCGAGCCCTCAAGAAATTAAAAAAATATAAACGTTTCATAAGCTACAATTTTAAAGACAACTTATGCCAAAATATTAAAGAGTAACTTTATGAAATATGTGTGTTAAGTAGTGCCCTCAAGGATTAACCAAAGAATGTATTACAAACAACTAGTTATGAGGTTTTTACATTTGTTTAATAGGGCGGGTAATCGGCCCCAATTACACTGGCTACGCTAGAGCTTTTTAGATGACTAAGACGAATTAAACTTTTTTAAATGAGCATTTAGGTGAGCGGGCCACCCTGGTGGGGTTTCTAGGGAAACTCCCTGCTTTTAGTCTTTCTGTTAAAGGTAACTTAAGTGAGATTAAAACCTTATTGGATTTATTTACCTTTCGAAACGAAGACCGTTTAAGGACTACACACATCCTTGGCCTTGCCGCGGGCGACCCCGTTTAGTCAGTGTCTTTAAAAGCGTGGGCTCTATGGCTTCCGGCATGGGGCGAGGGGCGCATAAAGGCACCAAAATTCTCATTAAAAAAAAAAAAAAATCCAAAGTGGCGCTAGTGAGAAAACGCCCGACAAGATGAAGACGGATCCCATCCTGTTCCTGAAGCTCAGTCCTTCGTTTAAAACCAGCATGTAAGCGAGCTCTGGCCCGGACACCCCGGGCTCTCACACAGCGGTTAGGTCTAGGGGAGCGGCCCTTGGAGGGTGTGGTCCGTTTTATACCATTTTTAAAAGAAGTAGTGCAGTGTTTAGCGTGACCCTTTTATGACGAGCGTCGTTAGGTGAGTTGTCTCCCTGTTTACGGCTATTTATGAAGGCCTTTTTAGGTCAGAAAAGCATGAAACAGGAACATTTCTTTCAAAAGTTTATTTAGCATCAAGCAAGAGGAAAGTCTGCTTAACACTACAGAACATTTCAAGACTGGCGTTACAAAAAGACCACAGTATTGCACTTGTTGTTGGTTTCCCTTTTTATGTAAGAGGGGAAAAATAAAAATAAAAAACTGGCATATGGCTGAAAGAGAAAATAACTAAACTCTATGGACACCTTTACAATGAAAGGCGAGGCGTATATTAAAGGATGGGTTAACATGTTTATGAACCTATTTTTTGTTTGTTTGTTTGTTTGTTTGTTTAATGCTAGTTAACCAAAGGTGTGCATGTGTTTTGTTTTGTTTTCTTTTCGTTTTGATGACCTATTTTCTTGTTTCATATACAGATTGGAAATAACAAAATTTAAATGTCTTTTTTTTATTTTTATTTTTCTCCTTCTTCCCAGGTTGGTGTCTCCACAAAGCAATGTTAAGTTCCATCCGTTCCGCTTTTTAGGCATTTTGATTTATTTAAAAAGGGGATCGTTCATAGAAAAAATTACTTTGCACAGTTTACAGGGCGGGTGGAGGTGGGCTAGTTCACAACATCGGAAAGTCAGTGCCGTCAGTAGCGGCCGTACGGCTGGTCCCGGTAGACGCCCTTCGCCGTCCGCGCCGAGGGGGCCTTGTGTCTCGAGTTCGTCCACTCCTCTTGCCCTGAAACCAGCAGACGAACCACATTAGACTGTCCCCGGGGCCGCGGGCCTCGTTCTGCAGCATCTGACTGGGCCCAGCGCCCACCGCGATGTCACAGTGGAGACACATGGCCTCACCCACCCAGGAGACTCACTGAGGAAAAAATGACAGCCACCAAGCCAGGTGGCCATCTCCTCGCCGAAACCCACCCGCGCGGCAGAGGTGTGGTGTTTGTAGCCTACGTGGCAACCGACGTGGCAGGAACCTGCCTCCAGGCGGCTCGCCCAGCTCCAGGAGCACATGAGCTGCCTCTGGCTGCACATGAAGGCGTGTATGAATGGGGAGGGGCTTGGGTTCCCGCTAACAGCACACAGGAAAGGAAACCTGTGAAGGCGGGCTTGGCTGGCGTGGGTCAGGGGTTGAGCGTCCACCTATGAACCAGGAGGTCTCGATTTGATTCCCGGCCAGGGCACATGCCTGGGTTGGGGAACTGGTCCCCAGAAAACGGCGTGCAGGAGGCAGCCGATCCATGATTCTCTCTCATCATGGATGCTTCTCTCTTCTCTCTGAAATCAATCAAAACAATTTAAAAAAAAAAAAAAAAAAACAACTAGAAAATTTAAGAAAAGAAAGCTTAAGAAAAAAGAAAAAAGAAAATTTAAGAAAAGAAGGCAGGAGGAACAACTGGAGAGGAACTCGGGGAGGGGCCGACAGGGGGAGAAATGCTGATTGCCCTTAGTGGATCCTCAAATGGAGGGTGAGAGCCGTGATGGGTGCAAATCTAACCTCGGCCAGACTTCATGACTGCGAGGGCACATGCCACATGGAACTCAAGTGACACAAGCCCACGTGGGACGGCGCCCTAAGGACAGGGCACCCCATTGTCCTCCCGCCTGAAGTTAAACCCGGTCTCCGACAGCAAGCCGCGCGCCCCTGCACCCCAGCCACCCAAGTCCCCGGGCCCGGAGACCACGGTGAGGAGCTGCCGAGACAAAGGCTTGGCCCCAACACGCAATCCCTGTGCCTCCCACCGGCGACCTGGCATCAGTCTGACTGCACGGAGCCCAGCAGACAGCATGCTCTCCAGCGGCGGCTCTGAATAACAAGGTAACAAAGGGGCACCCCCGGGTGCAGTGATCGTGGCGGGGGCGGGCGGCAGGAGGCCGGCACTTCCAGCGGAAATATCTGGAAAGGGCTCCGTGGGGCGTCACCAAGGCCAGCACATCCGTCACCCAGAACCCGACCGCGCAGGGTGCCAGGTGCAGCCGTGACGGCAGCCTCGGTCCTCGGAATGCTGTGCCCTGCGAGGAAGAGCTCCTGCCCATCCTTACGCCGCTGCCAGCCATTCTTTCAATGAAACCAGTAGTCCTTCTGCCTACGGAGGCTCGGGGCCTGGGTTCCCCCCGAGCTGGCGAGAGCACCACCTTCATCTGGCTCGGGGTCCTGTCGCCCCTGTGGGCGACTCCTCTGTGAGTGCTCAGAGCCCTGGGGCTCGGGGGTGAAGTAAGCTGTCAGGATGGGTGGGAGGTCACCCCAGGGCTGTCCTCCCAGAGTCCCATGCCCCTTTCCCATCGAGAAGCGGACACACTCCACAACACCCCTCCGAACAGCGGCCGGCGGCCAGCTGGGCCCTGAGGGAGGCACTGACCCAGGGCATCACCCAGACCGAGCCCCAGGGAGAGCCCGCTTCCCTCGGCCTCCGTGAGGCTTCCTCCTCGCCCCTTCCCACACCCTCAGGAGCTTCTGAGCACAAAGGGGCTGGGCAGGCGGCGGCGGCGAGGTGGCTGGCACCGTCCCCGTGTCCCAATCCCCGGAGGCCTCTGCCCCGCGGCCGCACTCACCGTAGGAATCGTACGTCTCGTCGCTGAGCCCGTGTCCGTAGTCGTAGTAGTCAGCGCCGCTGCGGAGACAGACAGAGGCAGAGGTGAGCGTGGGGGGCCTGCTGTGGGCGTAAATCACACCCCGTGAAGGGGTCCACACATAGAGACACACAGAGACAGCCTAAAGGCCAGGCTGGCGACAGAGACCCCCTACCACGGAGGCCTCCGGCTTCAGGGTGACCAACGGCCCCGACCTGAACACGTGACAAACGTGCAGGTCTCCTGCAGACGGAGCAAGGACTTCCCTTCCTCCGCAGCCTCGCCCGCCGGACGGCTCAGCTGTGCGGGCCGCAGGGACCAGTTCTCTTAGAAACTCAGCACTCTGCCCGGCCGGCGTGGCTCAGTGGGTGTGCGTGGACCCATGAACCAAGAGGTCGCCGGTTCGATTCCCGGTTGGGGCACATGCCCGGGCCGCAGGCTGGATTCCCAGGGTGGGGCGTGCAGGAGGCAGCCGATGGATGATTCTCTCTCATCATTGGCATTTCCATCCTCTCTCCTTCTCCCTTCCTCTCTGACATCAACTTTTAAAAAACATAAAAAGAGCAGGAAGTCAAGAGAACCACAGGCTGCTGGTCAGAGGCCAGGAGCCCCATCTTGATGGACTCGAGACAGATCAACCCTGGCTTCTGGGAGACTGATCTTCGTTGCACAAATAAGATGAGAGCAAACCCTTCATCAAAGTCAAAGTGACGCCCTTCCCCGGACAAGCCCCGTGGCTCGCCAGGGAGCTGCCAGGGGCCAGCCCGCCCTCAGCCGCCTTCCAGCCTCCTGCACCGAGGAGCGGGCGGTGACTCCGGACGGCGGGCACCGCGCTCCCGCACAGCTCAGCCCGGAGCAGCGGGCGGACGGCTCTCCCCAGCAGGAGGACAGAGGGGCGTCACGTGGCCCGGCCGCGGTTTGCTGATAAGACACTCTCCGTCCTGACAAGGGAAAACTTCCAGCTGTCGTTACCCATCCTTTCCCCCAGTTCCTGATGCTTTGCTGTGAGACTGTCATCACGCCAGGAGCTGGGAGCGGCTGCGCCCCTCACACCTGTCAGCCCATCGGGACGGCTCCCCCCGAATTTCATTCCAGGGACCTCGGGGGTCTGTTAACCAAGGACGTGTCCTATTTCCCAAGGGCACGCTGCAGCCCCCACCGTGGCGAAGATGGTGGAAAACACCTCCACCTCCTCACCTAGGCTCACAGCTGTTAGTGCTGATAGGAGGCGAGAAAGCGCAGCCGGCCGCATACACCTCAACTCCATCGCGAGGTTAAGGCAAGGTCAAGGGCGCCTTTCCCTCCACAGGTCAAGAGTGGGCTCTCGCCAGGTGAGGCCATGTCTCCTGTCTTTCTCCATGTCCTCCCATGCCTGGGGTCCGAGGAAGTCCACACGTTCGGCATAATTCCTGGCTCTCCCAGGGGTCCCGGTTCCCCATCAGAGTCAGGAAACATGCCGACCACTGGGAGGAGACCAGGTTTACGGAGCAAACGGTGTCCCCGGACTGTCCACGTCTGCCTGGGCCTCCTCCCTCCACATGGTTCAAATTGATTATTTGTTGTCAGTATTAATGGATTCACCTGGTTTGATGAGCTCCTAACACCCCACCCCTTCCTGATCCCTCCACACGCAGAGCACTGCCTTCTTTCCGAAGCGATCTGGCCTTCTAGTCGATGTTGATGGTTGACCTGGATCAACCCATAATTTTGTGCATTTGGGATTCTCAACATAAATCCACTTTTCATCGCCAGTCACCATTCGATGCAAAAAAGACTTTCTTTCGTGCCATTGAAGCAACATTTTACTGATGACTTTTTGGTTTTGCATTTGTCTCCTTCAGTTGAGGTGGCACCATTTTCCTTCAACATCTTTCCCATTGCTTGTAAACAATCAGAAACTGTTTGCTGAGCAAAATGTTGCTTAAAAGGTTGCAGATGGGCCCTGGCCAGTATGGGTCCAGTGGTTGGGGGCGTCATCCCAGACATCAGGAAGCGGCAGGTTCGATTCCCAGTCAGGGTACATGCCCAGGTTCTATCCCCTGTGGAGGAGGTATGTGCAGGAAGCAGCTCAGAAGGTGTTTCTCTCTCTCTCTCTCTCTTTCTCTATTCTCTCTCTCTCTCTCTCTCTCTCTCTCTCTCTCTCTCTCTCTCTCTCTCTCTCTCTCTCTCTCCTCTTTTTCCAAAATCAATTTTTAAAAAGGTTGCAGAAGGTTCTACATCATTTTTAAAAACTGGAATTTTTATGAGATTCTCAGAAAAAGGGAAAAGCACAAAGAAGAGTTTTGTTGGCAAGAGCCTCCCATTCGCTGTCCCTGTCTCTTCCCTGAACACACCTGCCTCCCAGGCAGGGCCTCGGTGGCCCGGGGTCTCACAGCCATGCCCCGGGACTGAGCTGAGCGTCCGCGCAGAGCTAAGCGTGCTCTCCGTACATGGCCGCGCTGTCATTTTTAAGCAGGTTTCCTGTCTTACTGTAATCAGTTTGAAAGACAGGAGAGAATTAATAGTTAAGAATCGGGCTTTGGAGTCAAACAAACGTATTATCAGAATCTAGGCTCCCGCACTTACTGTGCGCAAGCTTGGGCGAAGTTAATTCAATTTCCCGTAAAAAACGCTTTTAAAAATAAATCTCCAATAAGACCGTTGTGCGATTTAAATAAGATAGCGTGCCGAGTTATTAAGCTCTTACTCAAGGGTAGCTGTCATCCATCTCAGGAAGGCCAAGTTTTCACAAAGAAGCGGTATTTTGCCCAGAACGCATGCTTGGTGCTGCATAACCCTCTGTGCTTAGCAGGAGCGCCGGCCGCATCTTAGCGACTCACGTCTGACAACAGGCAGGACCGGTTCCCTCCCGTGCGCCGGCTCCGCCACGTCATCCTCTTATTTAATGTTCGGGAGGTGAGTCCTGCTCTGTCCACTCGCCAGCACTTACACATGAGGTTCCCTCGTGCCCTCGGCGAGCTCAAGGTCACGTGCACATGGCAGAGCTGGACCCAAAGGCAGAGGAAGGCCTGGCTGCGGGGCGGCTCCTGGGGCGGCCACCCCAACAGCAAACCCGTCCCTCAGGAGCACTCACTGCAGGGGGCGGCTTCCGTGAAGAAGCACCAGGGAACCGGTCCAAGTTTGTGACCGTTTTCCGGCAGAAGATGGTTTTTCAAAAGGTGCCGCCGTGTGCCCACCACCCAGAGGCAAGTCGTTCCCCGTCAGTAGGTCCTGCTGCCCGACGCCCCCGAGCAGCTCCGTCTGTGCACCCGGGCTGGGCGCCCCCCGTCTTCCCCGATTCCCAGTGCCCCCTGGACCCTCAGCCCTAGGAGCCCGCACCGTGCCAGGCAGACTGCCCACAGTCCAGACTCATCCTACGGCCACACCACAGCCTGCAGATGCCACCAAGCCCCTGCCCCTCTCACCGAGAGGACCCGAAGCGCAAGTCCCAGGACCCAGCGGGCTGCCCTGGAGCAGGGGCAGAGCAGGGACCCCTGGGCTTGCTCCGTCCTCGCAGCCGAGTCCATTCGGCCTCCATGAGGCCTGCTTCCTCGGGGCCATGCCACCTGCCACTGCCCCATCTGCCTGGGACTTGCCGGAATTGCCGTCTCCTTCTCCATCCACACGGCAGACCAGAGCACCTATGCAGTCAGTGTGCTCCCCGCAGACGCCGGTCACAGGAATAGCACAGGTCAGCCAGCTCCCTTCCCGGGGACAAGCCCAGGGCACCCTGACGTCAGTGTAAACCATCGATCACAAAACCCACGCTCTCTGCACCCCGGGGTTCCGGGATCTGCACACTCCCCAGGCCTTCTCGGACCCCTGTCCCATAGACACCGGGGTCTCAGTGGCACGTGTGGCTGTATTCGGTGCTTCTGGGTTTGGATACTCCACAGAGGACGCAGAGCGGGTGCCGGACCTGCCAGGTTCTCCAAGACGGGCAGCTATGACTTCTAATCCCCTCTCTTCAGTCATCTGAAGTGTTTTCATGGAAATCACAGCGATGTAGGAGGACGGAGATGAAGTAGGTACTTGAACCCCACAGCGAGGTGGGAAATTAGCTTGTCAGTGTTCCCCGTCCAGACACAAATGCCCCCACCACACGCTCACCCACGTCCTTCCATGTGAGGGGGAGGTGCGGGGGGAGGGGGCAGGGGGTGGTTAGCACATCTGTGAAACCCTTTTATTCCGCTTTCTTTATGATCACTAGAGGAATCAAATATCTCCTTGGAGAACTTACCCTCTTCAGAAGCACCGTGATTTTTTAAAGTACCGTGATTTTTAAAAAATGAAAACTGTAGGTAAGTGTGAACAGGGTCGGATTCACAGACAGAGCGGCGTGATGGCTGTATGTAAGTGGGGCCATGATGACTTGACTCGCAGAGAGCCAAGCTCACCGGCAGGCCTCCTCCCTCCGGTGCCTTTTCCGGTGTGAGCGCCCCTGAACCCCACTCTCTGAGCCCATTTCCGGCCGTCCGCCCCGAGCGGCGATCGTCATCGGGGTTACAGATCAGACGGCCAACGGAAATTCAAGCCACTCGGCTTGGAGCGAAGGAACACCTTTCCAAAGGGTTTGCCGGAGAAGAAACGATGATTTCTGTGAAGGCTCCGGTCCCGTCGGCGCAGGTCAGTGAAGGTGAAGGTTGTTTCTCGCCTGCTTGTCCCCGGGTAGAGACCATCTCCACCCACCTGGCAGGGACGGTGGCCTTGCCTGTCTCATTCAACCTTCAGGCCGCCCTCAAACACAGAACTCCGTCACACCGTCCACGAGCTGGGGCGTGCAGAGGCGGGGCCACTGCCCAAGGTCACCCCCACAGTCAGCGTGAAAGTGGGATCAAAGCACAGGTCTGCAGGTCCCCACCTCTATGGCACGGATCCCCAGGCTTTTATACACACACACACACACACACACACACACACACACACACACACACGTAAAAGTTCATTTAGACACAGAGATAGGAAAACTGGGCTGCGTGGGCTCAGGACCCAGGTTACAGCGGCAGAAGGGCCTCTGGAGCTCAGGAGACAGAAAGCCAGTCCAGTGCAGGCCTGCAGGGAGGAAGAAGGAAGGAGAGGCGCAGGTGTGCTCCAGAGAGAGCCTCCGCACCACGGGTGTCTGTGCATCGCAAAGAAGGCTGTGGTTGAGCTGGTAACTGCCACTGTGCATGTGTGACACGTGTCCTACAACCTTAACAAGTTATAGCTGCTACACAGAAGGAAACATCAGAACAGAACGTTTGAAAGACTGAGCAGGAGCTGGCGTTCCTTAATTCTTCCTGCATCTAGTGAGCTGACCTACCGACCCGAGGGCTTAATCATATACTCTGTGCCCTTCCTTCACCGATACCACCACACACTCATCATCAAGTTGCTGGGCCTTCAGTGAGCTAAGGATAAGCTCTTATCCAGAAGACACCTGTGTCGGCAGCACGGAGAGTGTTAACAACCTCAGGGACACAGGCACCAGGCACCAGGCTTCCAATAAGTGAGTCTATTTTTAAAATATATATATTTCTATTGATGTCAGAGAGGAAGGGAGAGGGAGAATGAGAGCAAGAGAAACATCAACGATAAGAGAGAATCATCGATGGGCAGTCTCCTGTACGCCCCGCACTGGAGATTGAGCCCACAACCCAGGCATGTGCCCAGACAGGTTCATTGAGCCACGCCGATTGGGTGAGACTTCCCCTAAAAAACAGGACCAGCTGACACAGTCTGAAGACTACTACACTGCTACAAATGATGTAAGAAAACAACTTGGAGCAAAATGGAAATACATTCTTAAATCACTGTCCACCTCGGTATCAGAATGAACAAGTGAAACCTTGCCTGGTAACCCGTCTGCGTCCAAACGTGAATTTACACCCCATCAGGGTGACCACATGGCCCCTGGTTTTAATGCTTCACCACGCCCATGTGTTCTTTTGTGTTTGTCTACCCTTATTCTCCACTTAGAATTTCAAATACAAAGCGAGAGGTTTCCAAGCATTTAGGAAAACATTCTGAACAGAATAAACACTGCTTTCAAATATCAAGGAGCAACCAGGCATGCCATCGGAAGAGGACATTTGAAAGCTTTTTTTTAATTTTTGCCTCCAAATAACACGCATTTCTGAATAAATACTTCTTTAGAAAACGAATGGGAACCCACTCATTACTACCAGGAACCTGAGATTCTTAGAAGCCGGAAGGCGTCCGCTGCGGATGGAAATTTTCCGTGAACACAAACAAAACCTCGTGCTCTCTCCCCCGCACGGACAGAGCTGGGTGCAGACACGTTTCTCCGTGACCTGGGCCTCAGGACCTGAATAACCGGACTCCACCAGCACTGCTCCTCCCCAGATTACACTACTTGGCTAAATTCTCAGAGTGAATAAAATATCAAGATTTATCTCCCAAGCTGCATATTTTTTTAATTGATTTCAGAGAGGAAGGGAGAGGGAGAGAGAAACATCAACGAAGAGAGAGAATCATTAATCATCTGCTTCCTGCACCCCCCACACTGGGGATGGAGCCCCCAACGCGGGCATGTGCCCTGAGCAAGAATCCAACTATGACCTCCTGGTTCCTAGGTCACCACTCAACCCCTGAGCCATGCCCACCGGGCCCAGCCCACATTGCTTTAAAGCTACAGCCAGTTGCAGGGGAGGTACTGGTAGACGTGCTGGCTGGTCATCCCCATCCTCTCCCCAGAGCAGACCCGGGGGGAGGGGACGAGGAAGGCAGTGTGGGTTGCGGGTCCCAGAGGCGGGCTCTTACCTCTGGGCCGGGGTGCTGTAGCTGTTGTCGTAGGAGTCGTAGTTCTGCTCGTCATACGCGGTGCCATAGCCGTCATCGTAGTCCTGCACAGAACGGGAGGGGGACAGAGACCATCAGAGGGCGTCGGGGAAGAGCGAGGCCTCCTGCATGCTCTGCGCCTTCACTCACGCAGCCAGCCCTTCGCCATCGGTCTGCTTAGAGGGCGAAGGGAGGTGTGATGGGGGCATCGATGGAAACCATGTGGCAAAGCCTCCAAACGCAAACGCAGAGAGAAGCTGGCCAAAGTAGCGGAACCCACACTTTCCCGACGACGGGAGTGAGCCAAGGCCCGCGGAGATCTAGGGCGCATTCACTTTTTTTTTTTTAAGGCTCCATCTTGGGTATGAACAGGGAGCTCTGTCATATTTTAACTTCCCTCCCCTCGCTCCCAGCTCTGTGGGGATCTCACCATCCAACAGCCACCGTCACTATGGAAACCAGGAGGCTGGAGCCAATGGAGGGGGCGCAGCAGGGGGAGCTGTATCAAAGCCCCATTCTCCGAGGGATGTCTTTCTGTGACATGACTTGGAGCTCATCCCGTGAAAACCCCCTTCTGTCCCGGGGAATTTGAAGAACATGCTCAGAGGCCTTTATTTAAGGTTCCTGCTGCCTGTGGTGGTGAAGAAAAACCAGAGCCGACAATAGGCAGCCAGGAAACAGCCGGGAACAGGTGTCCATGGGGGCTCGGGGAAGCTGTGTGCATGCAGCCACAAGCACGTGCCCAGGAACCCCGAGCGGGCCCTGAGCTCCCTCCGGGGCTGACCGAGAGGTTCGGCACAGGAAAGAGAGGCGACGCCAATGGCAGAGTCAGTTGTAAGCTGGCTGGCTGGGTGGGTGTGGGAGAAGACCCGCTCAAACGGGCGCCCAGAGGAAGGGAGAGGGAGAGAGAGAGAGAAACATGAACCGCGAGAGGGAACCTTTGATCGCTGCCTCCTGCACGCCCCCTGCTGGGGATTGAGCCACAACATGGGCCTGTGCCTGACCAGCAATGGAACCATGACCTCCTAGTTCATGGGTTGACACTCAGCCACTGAGCCACACTGACTGGGCTCCCAGAAGTCTTGGTGATAGATCTTAGTTTCAAAAGCCCCACAGAACCAGTCTCCCGTCCCCACTGAGCCTACAGAGGGCCAGATGCATCTGCCTCTGTCACTGCCCAGAAACAAGGGGCACGGCCTCCCCTGCCCCTGGGGACAGAGCCCTGTCCTGCCTCCTCTTCCACGCAGTCAGGGCACTGCCCTCCAGGGGCAAAGCCTGCCCAGCCCCAGGCCCGACCAGCATGGCTCAGGGGTTGAGCATCGACCTATGAACCAGGAAGTCACAGTTTGATTCCCGGTCAGGGCATAGGCCGGGGTTGCGGGCTCCATCCCCAGTGTGGGGTGTGCAGGAGGCAGCCGATCCATGATTCTCTCTCATCATTGATACTTCTATCTCTCTCCCTCTCCCTTCCTCTCTCTAAAATCAATTTAAAAAAAAAAAAAGAGGCATGCAGTAGTGTCTGATAAACGAATGAGTGAATGGACAGACGAATTAAGAAACAAGTGGCAGGAAAGAGAGCAACAGCTTCTTCGAACGAATGCACATCAAGGGGACGCTGTGCCATGGACGGCCGTGTCTGGAAAGTGTCCCTTCCTGAACTCCTCTGCCACATGCCACACGCCATGCTCAGGCTCCTGCTCCAGCGGGAAGTTCCCCTTTAAGACACCGGGTTCTATTTCTGCACATCAGAGCGACATCGTTCAAAACAGTGGACGAACGCGGACAAGAAGGAAAAATAGAGGAATATACGTCCCTGCCTCGTTAACAAAGACTCGCTCATGTTTTCCATCAGCTACACCTCTGGGCTGTTCTCGTCGATGAAGAAGATGTCTAAATGCTATTTCACCCACAGGGCGACCCGGCCACGGGGTCGGTGCCGTGGCGTCAGCAAGGGACGCCTGTGCCACCCCCTGCCATTCCCGACCCGCACACACCGACAGCAGGCAGCCAGGCCTTTGAAAAGAAGAGCTTTTCCAGGATAAAAGAAACAGCGTGACGTTTAATTCTATTTCTGTCCCGGGCAACAGCAAGCACGGCCTCTCAGCTGGGGAAAACCATTTTACACAGACTGGAGGGTTGACAAAAGACGGCGATTTTAAAAAAATAAGGGTTCGGCTCTGAGTCCTTTTTAAAAAGACCATTATCCTGGGAAAACCTCACCTTCATCAGGGAGATGTCTGATCATGGCAAAAGGCACCACGTTTTCACGGGTAATGCAGCGCTCACCGCTCACGTAGAGCTGGTTTCACGGCGGCTGCTCTGAGTTTATCCAACAAACAGATTAGCTCCTTGGGCTTGGAGACATTCGCTTCTCCGGAGCTTGGAGTCATAATGTCCTCGTTGAGTGTCACCCATGACCATGAACACATCACATCATGTCACCACGTTCTTTCATCATTAAAGACAAGAATCACACTATTGCTGATCGTTCTAAGTAATAACGACCCCCACCATTGTGTAGATAAAACACCATCTCACAATCAGATCGCATGGGCGTGAGAACGATATTATTTGTCCTGGAGACTCAACACCTTCAGGGCCCAATGCCCATGTTCAGATGCCAGTTCAAAGTAAGCAAAATAAGAAAACAACCCCCCAAAGGCGTGGGGAGCTGGCGGCACGGTGCTTGCCAGGAAAGCCCGCTTTGTTTCATTTGAAGGTCCGTTACCTTCCACACGCTCAGGCCATCGGGCCAGAGACCCACCGGGCAACGCGGATGTGTTCGGGGGGCGGGGAAGAGGGGAGGCCCTAGGTATTCAAAAACGCAATCCAGGAAAATAGAAGGACAGAGAGGCGAGCCCGGGAATCCCACCGCGGGAGAGGTAGGAGCGTAGACAGAAGTTTACGTCCATCCCAGCGGTGTCCTCCTGGGGAGCCTGCGCTCCGCCTGCCCGATCCGCCAGTCCGGCTCCCGCCTGGCCTCCATGTCGTCTCCTCTAGAAGCCATTCCCCGTTGCACCCAGGCTCAGTCCTCCCCTCTGCCTTCCCTCATGCTCTGTGTGCCAGCCAACTGCGGGCGCTGATACCCTAAGCAGTCACTGTGTCTTGTCTCTGCATCAAGAAAGCCCATCCCTTATTGCATATGCTGGACGCTATGGACAAAGAGGCATGACCGCTGCTGTCAATCCTGTGACTGTCATGGGGACAGGAAGATGGGAAGGCGTGACCACTGTGCTGCAAGGTGAGCACCTGCCCCGGACGCACGCACACGGAGTCGGACCCCAGAGAAGGACCGCCCACGAGACGCAGAGGCCACAGACGGGTTCCAGGACGGGACCCGGCTGCCTGGCTTCCTCGAGGGGACCCACGTGAAGGCAAGGATGGCGTTCTGTGATGCTGACCTAATGCTCCCGAGAACGGTAACACCGAGTCGGGTTCCTGAGGGAAACCCAGGGCTCTCCGCATCCCCTGGGGGGCGCTCCACACCCATCACAGCAGCTCGAGCGCAGCCACGGCCACGGGGCCGCCTGGGGGGGGACCAGCCCGGCCAGGAAAGCAGGGTCTCCCTGTCTCAGGGACACCGACCGCCCAGCCCACCCTTCCTTCCTGAGCCACTTTTTGGGTTTGTTTTGTTTAAAGTCAGGAGGAAAAGAATGAACTCCTCCATATTCATAGATTTAAATCTGAAATGACTTCCTCAAGTCTTGGGTTTCTAAAATAGGCCAATCTTTCACGCGTTTAGAGAAGACATGGGCGTGTGAAGCGCCTGACGGACATTTCGAGTAAATTGCCTGCGACTCTTGATTCTTGCTTCTGGTAAAATAGATATTAAGAAAAAAAAAAAAATCACAGAACCTTCCTCTTTTTGTCAGAAATAAAAAGGTGTCCCTAGGCTTTCCAATTCACATCTAAAAATGCATTTTCATAAATAACCTTTTCACAATCTGCACTCTGTTTTAATTTGTCGCCATGGACGACAAGGTAACGGGAGCAGCTGGGAGGTTAGGGAACTGTCACAAAGCGAAGCCGCCGCCACTGCGGCCTCCTCAGCGCCGAGTCCCCAAACGGGTCCGGTAATTAAACCTTCAGGGGAGCTCTCCAGAGAACGGGGAGCATCACGTCACAGAATCTTCCCGCAGAATCCAGGTTAAAGAACTCATGTGCCCGGCCGGCGTGGCTCAGTGGCTGAACACCAACCTGCGAACCAGGAGGTCACAGTTCGATTCCCGGTCGGGGCACAGGCCCCATTTGAGGGCTTGATCCCCAGTGTGGGGCGTGCAGGAGGCAGCTGATTCATAGTTCTCTCCCATTATTGATGTCTCTCTCTCCCTTTCTCTCTGAAATCAATAATATATATATTTAAAAAGAACTGCATGTATATTTAATACACACACACACACTTTAACACTCAATTTCACTCCTTTTCAGGCTTAACTGATTTGAAATAATGGGGGAAGCCAGACTAAGTTTGGAACAAAGAAAATTTATCCCAATGTGCAGCGTAACTTTTTTTTTTAATGGGATACATAAAAGACAGAGTTATGGTACAAAACGGGCAACGGCGGACGAATTGAGGGTGCGACCGAACCAGCGGGTTCTCGATGTTTGCGATTCCACGGCTTCGTGGGACCAGCGAGGCCTAGGCCGGGCGGCCAGCCGTCTGAAGACCCGAGTTGATAAGAAAATGATTCCCATCCGAAGATTATTTTAAATTGTGATAATAAGCTGTGTTAATAAACACTGATGCTATAATCACCCAAAGTGCATATACACTGCATATGTGGTTTTCCCTAAAGATCTTCCCTGATAGTCCCGTCGTCAAAATTTCCGAAGAGTTCATTCTTTTTTTTAAAATATATTTCATTGATTTTTTTACAAAGAGGAAGAGAGAAGGATTGAGAGTTAGAAACATCGATGAGAGAGAAACATCAATCAGCTGCCTCCTACATACCCTCTACTGGGGATGTGTCCGAAACCAAGGTACATGCCCTTGACCGGAATTGAACCTGGAAACTTTCAGTCCATAGGCTGACACTCTATCCACTGAGCCAAACCAGTTTCAGCTGAAGAGTTTATTCCTGTGCCAGAGGAGGAGACGGGGGTCCCTGTCCTGCCACTTCGCCGAGCAGGGGCCACGGGTGGCAGCAATGGTGCCTTCCCTCGGACAAGGGTCGCCTTCCGCGGCCTCCCGGAGCCACGGGGGCACAGCGGTGGCTTCCCGCTCCTTCCGCACGGTCTCTGTGATGCTTTAACCCGGATTCAGTGAACGGGTGGGAACCGTCCTCCCAGCACATCCTCATTCATCCTCCAGAGAGAGAACATTAAACTGGCAGACCCCGGCCCCCTGGGGGGCCTCCCACACTGCCTCTCAGCACGGCCCCGCTGCAGGGAGAGCTGGCAGCAAGTTTGGTGAGAACAGGAGTAAACAGGAGCCAGCCAACCGTAGGAATACAGGTGAAGAGACAGGCCACGCCCTTCCAAGGGCCATGGGGGAGTGGGGATGGGGGTTGAATCTGTGGACTATAGTCCACTGAGCTCCCAGTTCGCACTTGCTGCTGAGTAGAAAGAGGTAAAAGCCATCCATTCATCCATCCACCTATCCTTCCATCTTTCCTTTCTTCCTTCCTCCTTCCTTCCTTCCTTCCTTCCTTCCTTCCTTCCTTCCTTCCTTCCTTCCTTCCTTCCTTCCTTCCTTCCACGTGCCCCCTCAAAAAGTAAATAAAAAGCTCTCCATGCCTGTCCTCCCAGTCCAGGGTGGAGGGAGACATGGAATGACAGTGGGAATGCAGGGGGTCGGCTACTCCAGACTTCCTAGTAAACACACCGCAGTGGACAGACGTGCAGGAGGCGTCGGTGCAGAGAGGGCAGCGTGAGCAGAGGTCCGGACGTCCGTGGGCAAATAGCATCCGCACCATTTTCCCTAATCCTTCGTCTCTCTTTGATGCCTATAGTTACTTCGCCACGCTCACTCCTGCTTTTAGTTATCTGAGTCCTCTCTCTCTCTCTCATTCCTTGATGAGCCTGGTTACAGGTGTGTCAATCTTGCTTATTTTCTCAAAGAACTAATTTCAGTGATTTTTTGTATGGTTGTTTGTTGTTGTTTTTTAGACTCTTTTTCGCTTGTTTCTGTCTGAACTTTATCATTCCTTCCTTCTGCTCACGTTCGGCTTTGTTTGTTGTCTCTTTCAAGTGTAAAGTCAGGTTATTTGAGATTCTTCCAGTGTCTTGAGGGAGGACTCTGCTGCTCTGAATTTCCCTCTCAGGATCCTCTCCCTGTGTCCCACGGCTTTCCCAGAGGGAGAACGAGGGGAGTGGAAGAAGGGCAAGGGGGGACACACAGTGGTGGAAGGAGACATGACATGGGATGAACACACAACACAATACACAGGTGGTGTGTTACAGAACTGTACACCTGAAACCTACTGTTATTAGCCAGTGCCACCCCAACGCATTCAATTAAAAGCAAATACGGAGCAAAACATGAATACCTATTGGGTCTTGCATCTCAGCCCTGCCACTGCCTCCCTCTCTGACGACAGTCACACGCTCTTCCTTTAAGACTTCCGACTGCTGATGTGAAACACCGTCCACTGCTAGGTCCTTCCTCAGGGCAAACCAGGAAGTGACAGCAAGGATGGAGGGGGCTGTAGTCTCCCTGCCCTCCAGGCGCCTTTCAGGGTTCTATTGGTTGTCTATTCAGCCAGCCTACGGACCGACCAAGGAATGACTGACTGAATGGGGAACGAGAAAACCTGGTTTGCATGAATTTAGAAAACGGTGAGTTTCTATTTTCTTCCCTGAGAAGATCATCGGCGAAGAATCCACACTGGGCAGCAGAGGGTAAGAGGAAGCGCTTCCGTGGAAAGACAGCCTGGCGCGTGCAGGCAGTGCTTTTTTTTTTAACTATGATTTTATTTATTTATTTTTATTTTTTTATTAAATTATTATCTGTGTACATATCTTACCATTGCTCTCCCCATACATACCCTCCCTCCCCAGAGTTTTGTGTCCATTGGTTGTACTTATGTGCATGTATACAAGTCCTTCGGTTGATCTCTTATCTCCCCTTCCTCTCCCCACCCTCCCCGCTGTAATTTGACATCTGCTTGTTGCTTTACTGTCTCTGCATCTATCTTTTGGTTCATCAGTTTATAATGTTCTTTATTATCCATAAATGAGTGGGGTCCTGTGGTGTTTCTCTTTCATTGACTGGCTTATCTCACTCAGCAGGAGGTTCTCCAATTCCATCCAGGTGGCTCAGGCAGCGCTTTTTAAAGGACTGGATTGCGAGGAGGGCCCCGGGGTGGAGTGTGGAGGGACATCACGGGAGCAGCCTATGAAAGCGAGGCGACGCGCGCCCTGAGCCTAATCCTGGACTCCATACCCACCACCCGAAGTCATGGTCAATGGCTCGGCCTTCAGCCAGTGGGTGAACAGGCCCCTCCTCCTTCAGTGTCTGTGCCTCCAGCACCAGGCCCTCATGGGGCACGCACACACCCGGGGGGAGCAGGCAGGAAGGCACGCGGGGAGAGGGGATGTGGCCGGTACATCGAGGCTACTGTGCGCCGGGTCACTTACGTAATCGCCATACGTGTCCTGCGTCGGGGGAGGCGGTGGAGGTCTGTACCCGGTTGGGGGGACTCCTCTTGCTCTGGGGGTGAGAAGGCCTCGTCCCCGACTCACCAGCCCTCGGGTGGAGAGGACTCCCCTGGACGCCGATGCCCCTCGGGGGGCCACCACACCAACGGGCCGGGCGGCGGCGCCTCCCCTGCCCCTGCAAGCGAGAGGGACAGGTTAGCGGTGTCTGTCACGTTCTCCATAGCCCCGTCCCCCTGACACCTCGGAGGAGCGCACGGTCCGGAAAAGAAAGGAGGAGCGATACGTGAAGTAGCAAGTAGAGCAAGAGAAGAAGGGCGTCCTCAGAAAGGGGTCCTCTGGGCAGCGCACCCAGCACCGGAGAACGGGGAACACCAGAGACTCCATGTCACCGAGAACCCAAAACTGCCCTAATCAATAAATCACGTGTTTTTTTTTTTAAACACACACACACAGCAGCATTTACCGAGACAACCAAAGAAGGGAAAGGAGATGTTTTGGCGCACGGCTAAGAAAATACGTACAGAAACCATGTAAAAAAAACAAAAACAAAAACAAAAAGAAAAAAAACACGAAACTCTGACGAGAGACATGAAAGGAGAAACAGTCCACGCTCATGGCTGTACGAGTCCATGGTGCTACGCTGCCCGTTCTTCCCAACTTGACCTGTGGACTCAGTGCAAAACCCAGCCAAGTCCCAGCAAGCTCTTCTGTAGATGGACCCACATGTTCTAACGTACGCCAGGAAAGATTAAAAAAACAATACTGATAGAAACAGAAGCGATAGTACACCGCTGAAGAAGGAAACTGTTGGAGGATTCCTAACCCCTGACTGCAGGACTCACGTAAAAGCCACCGCAATCCAGAGAGCGAGGACTGAGGGCAGGACTAGACACACAGACCGAGGGGCGGAAACACAAGGCCCAGACACGGATCCACAGAGAGTCAGGGATCACCGACAAAGGAGCAAAGACAGGGGAACCATTTTCACAAACGCCCGTCCCTCTGGACTGCACGGAAAGACGCTGTGATTTCTAGCACGCAGTGTTCCTCCTCTACCTCGGCACACGCCTAGAGAAGTCTTCAATGCGATCAGGAGAAAACCCCAGTTTCCACTTGCAGTGCGTCTAACCCTCCGGTGACATTTCAGTTCATCTGCATGTATTCCAGCCACGGAAGGTTCCTGCTGCCTTATCGAATGCCCTTCCATGGCCATCCTACTAAATGGGCCACAAAACAGTCACCATGACTTTTGGATATATAAATGCATGTCTTTCAACGTGGTGGAAGACATGCATTTATCCATTTGAGAAGTTCACAATTCCTCCCCGTCATCATGAACTCTGTTAGATCACTATGGGGCATACGGAGTCACACAGAGGTGCCTGCCACGGAACGTCAGACAGGTCTTGTGACAGGTGTAGCTCCAGACACTTCTCTGTGAAGGTGCGTTGAAGACTCATTCTCAAGGGAACGCTGGTGGGAATGGAGTCGAGCAGTAGGAGCACGGCTTTAAGTGGTACCTTGGGGAGAGGAAGGCGTGATGCCGAATGACAGGCGACCACAAACTCCCCGTCACACTGCAAAGCACTCGCTGAATGCTACAGCCAGGCTCCGAGCAGAGCGGCGCTGGGGACTGGGAACGGAAAAGGGCTGTCCGGTGAGATGTACAATTTTGCTTGAAACGTTTATCCACGTGGATAGAATCAGGTGCAGCACTGCTCTCAGTCAGGACACGGAAGAGCAGAAAGGTAACACCGAGCAGAAGGCTTCATAAGCGGGCGGGTGGGTGGATGGATGTGGTTGTGATGGCTCCTTCTGTTTATGCATTTTCAGCGGAGTGACCAGGGCTTCTGGCTTTGAACCCCCAGCGCCATACCTGCCCCCGGAGAGCTGAGTCCTCCCTCTGAGGCTGCCGCTGTCTTCCTATTCGGGTGGTCGGCACCTTTCCCCTTTGTGTGTGTGTATTCAACCAAAAAAGCAGGAAAGGTCTTTATCATTCCCCATGAGGGCTCCGGGACTCTGGCACCGGCTTCTCCCTCTCTCCTAACAACCGCACCGATGACAGAGGAGCCGAGGGAGGCGTGGAGGTCCCTTCAGGTCCGATGGCCAGGGACTGCCCAGCATTGATCGGTGTGAGACATTCCATGCTGAGTGATCAAAAGAGGAATCAGGCCGGAACGGGGCATTTAAAACATGAATCTAGTTTCATCTTAAAAGGTCTTGATGATGGTGAATCCCAACTGGAAGAGTGGTACAGCCCGGCCCGGAAGGACGGCAGCCGCGGTGACAGGACACACTGATTGGCCGGGAGAGCTGCCAGGCTGAGTAACGGACATGGGATGGCTGCACACACCGTGTTCTGACGACAGAAAACGCAAGCCCGCGGCGATGGCCTACCTGGCTGCCGTGGGGGTCGGGGCGCCTCTGGTGCGCGAGGCGGACTTCCCTCGGGCTGCGGGGGCGTCCGCGCCTTCGGAGCCCCCGTTCAGGTAGGTGAGCTCCTGCAGCTGCGCCTGGCGGATCTCGTCGTTGTAGTCCTGGGAGGAAGACACGGCATCACCACCGTGAAGAGGCGGGCGTGGTCAGGACACCAAGCACACGGGTTTTAACAGATGTTTTTATTGATGTCAGAGAGGAGGGGAGAGGAGAGAGAGAGAGAAACATCAACGGTGAGAGAGACTCATGGATTAGCTGCCCCCTGCACGCCCCACACTAGGGATCGAGCCTGCAACCCGGGCATGTGACCTGACTGGGAATCGAACCTTGACCTTCTAATTCCTAGGTGGAAGCTCAACCACTGAGCCACACTGGCCAGGCAGCAATTTTTTTTTTTTTTAACAGAAATAAAGGATCAGGAAAATAGTTGACGTCAAAATACAAGAGTTGAGTTGGTTAAAATGAAAATGCATCAGTAAATTTTAAAAAGTTAGAGCAGTACTGTTCCCCGAGGTAAACTTGTCTACCATCAGCCGTCACTCTTCCCCCTCAGGATGAATTCCAGGTGGGACATTTATAATGAAATTAAAGCCGCACGTGACAGATGCACCGGCAAGGCCACCACAGCCCCGCTCCCCGGCCGCCGCCAAGCATGTGTGATGGGCCCGCCGGGAGCAGGAGGCAGACGGGCCACAGGGCCTGCACGCCCTTCAGTCCATTCCCGCTGGGATGTGCAGCACATCACCGTGTACTGGGAGGCCTGCGCTGGTGCATCTTACGTTCCTGTCCACACGCCACCTGAGAATTCTGGGAGTCACCCCTGACTGCCCCCCTTTCCCAACTCCCTGCTCCGTCAACCCCCACAAGAACCGTGTGTGCCGAGCAGAGAGCAGAGTGGCTGGCTCCAGTGGAAGGGAAGCTCAGCCGTGCGTGACGGACAGGAGCGGCACCTCACTCAGCTGGAGGAGGAATGGGATTTCTACAGGGTGAGTGCCAACTACCTGCCAGAGAGGGGGTGCCAGTGTTCCCGACGGGGGGGGGGGGGCGTGTTTTAAGACCAACAGACCGGCGTGCTGAGCTCCCTGCGAGCGACAGGTGAGCTGAGGAGCAGGCCAGGGGTCACTGTGCACACGGACGCTTCCTCCCACGTGTTCATGATCCTGGGGCCCCAAGAGGCCCACTGGGATCCATCAGTAGCTCGACCTCTCACAGCCAACCTATAAATACGCTTCCCGCCATGTGACTACAGCGTGTGAGGCTTAATGAGCTATTTGTAAAGCACACGCTAAATAAAACGTGCCGCATGAATGTTAAATGCTTGCAAGTGAGAGGCGGGGTGACACAGAATCGTCCGAGCTAAACATAGATCCCGGGGAAAGTGGACGCACACGGAGGGCACTGGGTCTGGGTCCCAGAGCAATGCACTGCCAGGGCGGGTCCAGGCTCACAACAGGGTGAGTCCCGCCACGGGGACCAGGGACTGTGCTCTTTGACTTCCTTAATCGTGTGACCTCAGCAGCATGACCTCATTGAAGGTCTGTGGCCTCACAAGGAAAGGGGGAATGATGACCAGGATTCGTGGGGACAGGGTGAGGTCCCTTGCCATGAGGCCGGCGAGGCTCTGGGGTAGACAAACGGCCCTGCAAGCACCAATGGCTGCCAACTCACCAAGGATCTGAGTAAGGGAATGCCCGGCCGGCAGGCATGGCTCAGTAGCTGAGCGTCAACCTATGAACCAGGAGGTCACGGTTCGATTCCCGGTCAGGGCACAAGCCAGGTTGCCTAGTGGATCCCCCGTGTGGGGTGTGCAGGAGGCAGGCGATGTGATCAATGGCTTTCTCTTATCGTGGACGTTTCTCTCTCCCTTCTCCCTTCCTCTTGGAAATCAATAAAAATATACACTGAATGGCCAGATGATGATGATCTCTGAACGCATAATAATCTGGCCACTCGGTGTATATCCAATATAGTAAAAGGCTAATATGCAAATTGTCCCCTCAACCAGGAGTTTGACCAGCAGGCAGGCCAGCCAACCACCCATGTCCCCTCCACCTGGCTAGGCTGGCCAGACCCCACCCATGCACGAATTCATGCACCGGGCCTCTAATACACACACACACACACACACACACTCTGTGGCCAGATTATTATGCGTTCAGAGATCATCATCATCTGCCCACTCCGCGAATGCTATTGAAAACACACTGGAAGGAAGAACGGGGACCACACTCACAGGGATGAGGAACTTCTTGATCTCCTCCAGCGCGTGGCCCATGCGGGCGTAGGCTTCGGCGGGCGGGGCGAACACCTCGATGAGGACGTGGAGGTCATCGTTGAGGTGGAAGTACTTGGCCTCCCCGCTCTTCCTCAGCTCCTCCTCCTGCGGAAACATAAGGCGCGTAGAGGCTGTGCGGTCAGAGGAAAGAGGGAGATGAGAAAACCTGCCCCCAGCTCCTCGCACGCAGCTGTCCCTGAAGATCCGCCACCCCTAGCCAACGCCACCTAAGGAAGCGTTTACAGTGTAAACGGGTCCTGCCGGTCCGAACCCAGGCTTTTAGGAAAACACGAAGGTATCCAGCTGGCGCTCAGTCTCGGCTTCTGTCCCGGGGCTTGGGAGCCCGGCTCCTGCCTCCTCAGGTCCCTCCAAGCTCCGCACAGACCACCTCTGTGGAACTGGACCCGCAGCCCAGCTCACTTCTGCACCGGTCACACTGTGACCCACAGCGCCCTGATCACGCCCTGAGCAATCTCCAAAATACCTGTCCCTCGCCCCTTTCCTGACTTCTCTCACTGCAGGTGCCCGCATGGAGCACAGACTGAGACGGCCTCTCCTGGCGCTGCAACCATCTTGTTCAGGAAAGTGCTTGGCACAGAGCAGAAGCTCAACAGATACTGACTGGGTGAGCGACTAATTGACTCTTCATGTCTCTGTCCATTGGCTGCGGCAGGTGTCACTCAAAAGCACTACCCATGCCAGGCACTACACCCTCCCTGAGGAAAGGAAGGGGAACACGATAAACAGTGGGCTTCCTTAGCTGACTGTCCATCACCGTGATGCACGTTTTCTAACTGATCGGTTGTTGTTTGCACAATGAAATAGAGGGGGAAATGAGGAGGGAAAACAGATCATTCAGGGACCAGTGATTTCGATACAACATCTTTATCTTTTTTCTTAAGATTTTTTTTAATTGATTTTAGAGAAGGAGGAAGGGAAAGGGGGGGGGGAGAGAGAGAGAGAGAGAGAGAGAGAGAGAGAGAAACATCGATGTGAGAGGAACGCATCACTGGCTGCCTCCTGTGTGCCCAGCTTCTGGGGATCAAGCCCACAACCTGGGCCGGGAATCAGACAGGCAGCCTCTCCTTCCACAGGACAGAGGAGTCTGGGAAACACAGCATCAGTCAAGACGTGAACGCTCAGTGAGTCCTTCCACTGACTGGCGTGACTGAGAATTACGTCACACGCCGACTGGAAGTTCACACTAAGGCTCCCCTAAGCAGGCTGGGGCCTGGAGGATCTCCACTGTGAAGCAGCATCGCAAGGGCGTCTGATGCAGAGCCGTGTTCTCATCACGTAAGAGACCGACCCTCCCTGAGCAAGCAGGCCGTACCCTCGGATGCTCTGAATCACACTTTTCTTACATTTAAAAGCAAGATTTCGTTTATCTCCCGCCATGTGTCCAAGGATGACCTGGAGGAAGGCACACGAGATGTCACAGCGTGTCTGAGCCACAGTGACTCTTCAGTAAATGAACGGTGGCTATTTTCACGCGAAAGCTGCTACTGAGACGGACTCTCGGGTGAGGAGGCTGGAGTTGGTCTAAGTGACTTTCTTGCCTGACACAGCCATTGTTCCACCCGACACGGTAAGTGATCACTAAACACAGATTCGGTTCTCAGTCACATCAGCCTTTCAGCAATGACAGAGCGACAGAGCGACGGGGGAGAACATTGGAAACATGAACGTTCTTTTCAGAACTTGTGTATTTTAGAAAGTGATTCGTAAAAATAACAGTAATCTTTGCTTATTAAAAAGGGAAGCGTACTGCCTGTCAGAATGGCTCCCGTCAATAAATCAACAAGCAAAGTGCCACAAGGATCCAGAGGAAGGAACAGCTGGGATGTCGACTGGTGCCGCCGCTGCAGGGCAGTATGGCATTTCCTCAAAAGGTAAGGAGGGAATGGCCTTTGGACCCAGCGATTGTGGGGATTTACCCAAAAAGACCAGAAACAACAATTCAAAAGGATGTATGCACCCCTGTGTTCACTGCAATGTTATTTACAATACCCAACGTTTGGAAGTGCCCGTCAGCAGACGAGTGGATACATTCACACAGGGAATGGCATTGGGTCATGAGGAGGAGGACAGCTCACCTTTTGCAACAGCATGGGTGGCCTGGAGAGTGTGGTGCTGAGGGAAATAAGCCAGTCAGACAGAGATAAGGACCACGTGATGTCACTTACATGTGGCATCTGATGAACAAAATAAACTAACAAGCAAAATAGAAACAGACTCATGGATACAGACAGCAGACACACTGCTGTCAGGGGGGGGGGAGGAGGTACGGGGCTGGGTGAAAAGGGGGAAGGAATTAAGCAGAACAAAAAGTAAAAGACAAAAAAAACTCTCAGGCACAGACAACAGTACAGTGATTACTGGAGGGGAAGCGGGGAGGGGAGAGATCATACAATGTATGATGTAAAGGTAAATGGGGATGGATGGAGACTTGACTTGGGTGGCAAACCACAACACCACACACAGATGACGTGTTGTAGAACTGGACCCCTGAAAGCTAAATAATTGTATTGACCAACGTCACTCCAGTAAGTTCAATGAAAGAAATCAATCAATCTTGAAATTCTAAAAATAAAAAAGGAGGCAGTTCACATGAATACATCCAAGTAGAATAACTGTGTGCAAGCAACTATTAAAACTTTTAAAGTCAATAGTATTAACTTGACAAAATGCATAGGTGCCAAAGGAAGGGCAAAAAGGGCAAATAAACGCATCTACTTTATAAAGTCAATGAAGGACAAGACCCCAAGGAGCCTGTCTGAAGGACAAACAGTCTCGGTGAGAGGACAGACAGCTCCTTGCTCTGCGTGTCAGTGTCCCTGTGCTTTCTGCAAGGTGACATACCATTTCCTGAATCAAAACCACAGGTGCCCAGCTGGCGGGGCTTCTGCATTGAGTGTCTGCCCAGGGAGCAGCTCCTGTATTGAGTGTCTGTCCCCTGGTGGTCAGTATGTGTCATAGCAACCAGTTGTTCGGTTGTTTGGTCATTCGGTGGTTCAATCACTTAGGCTTTTACATATATAGATGTAGAGATACAATGGATGATCTTACCTTTGCCTTGTCTCTCATGGAGCCTTTGCCAAGGATGGACATTTTGGTCAAGGTCTCTTCTTGTAAACGCTTCAGAGAGTTGCCACGTGGACCCAGAAGCTTCCCCACAAAGTTGAACTAGGAAAAACACAGAAAGCAAGCTTGTAGCACCCGTATCTAAAGACAACGTCTTACTCTCAAATGCTAGGAAACACGGTGGTATGCTCCACATATCATTGATTAATCACAAAAAGGTCAGTTCCTGCTACATGAATCACATTGCTTCTATACACCACAGGTAACAGGGCTAAACACGGTAAGATAAAATAACAATTAATATGTTTCTCTATACCAATCATGCCCGTGATGGCTGTATTTCACAACCTGTAAATGCAATTAACTTCCTTCACAACAGTCACACACATTCAACACCCACCATGGACGGACGGCGCCAGGGTTAGGACATGGGTGAGGGAAAATGCCGCTACATGCTACCTGTCCTGCAATGTCCCCCGGCTGGTCATAGCACTGGGTTCTTCGACCTGATCAGCGCTCAGCCTTGGCCAGTCAACCAGTAGAGGCTGACTTCCACATCTGGTGGCTGACAAAAGCTTTGCCGTGAATCCACCGATCTATTGGACAACTAGCTATGGCAATGGTTCTCAGCCTTCCTAATCCCTCAACCCTTTAACACAGTTCCTCATGCCGTGGTGACCCCCAACCATAAAATTATTTTCATAACTGTAATTTTGCTACTGTTATGAATCGTAATGTAAATATCTGTGTTTTCCCATGGTCTTAGGCTCTACAGCAGCGGTTCTCAACCTGTGGGTTGCGACTACCTGAGTTTCAAAGCTCAGCTTTGCTATTTGGCATCTGAGGAACCCTGGGCCAGTTATCCAACCTCGCACCCCTGGGCTTCCTCACCTCTGCACACCTGCTGTTCAACGGGACTGTCCTGAGGACTCAGCTGGTCCATATACTTAGACTAGAGGCCCGATGCACAAAATTCATGCAAGGAGCTCGGCCCCTGCAGCTGTAGTGGCTGCCTCTGCCTCGGCCCCTGCCGCCATAGCTTTGTCCGGAAGGTCATCCAGTTTAATAAGCATAGTACACTTTTATTATTATAGAAGATTAGAACAATGCTTGGTGCAACATAGGCAATACGTACGTCTTGAGTGAAAGAATTATCCTTAGAAATGTCACACAATGCTTGAAGCCTCACTACAATGAAGGTAAACCATGAATACTTCTCACTCCCCCACAGAAGGGCAGCCTTGTTTGCTACCCAGTGAGCACCTGTCTGTCCTCTTGGGCACGCTGATTGGTGACAATCTCATGCCTTCACCGCTCCGGTGTCGGCCACCGTACTGGGGCCGTTCCCCGGCCGCACCGCTGCTGTTTTTAAGAGAAAATTGTCCTCCATTTGCCTTGCTATGATAATTGAAGTCATTTTCCTGAAATACCCACTTAAAGGAAAATCAGAGTACTTTTTCCTTGCCCACTTTTCAGCTTACTGGTCTTCAACAAGGCTCCAGCATCTATTTTTTATCTTTACATGCAACTTCTTTTTATTTTTAAATGTTATGCAGATCACTTTTCAAACTGTATCAGTAACACAGAGTTGAAAACTACAAGGCTGGGGAGGTCAGTCTCTCGACCCGGCCACCCCTTCCTGCTTCTTGTGCCCGATTTTCTCCGCTTTTACCTTCTTGGAATTTCTATTATTTGGATTCCGGAGACCTGGGTTGGATCTCTAAGTTCCCTCTTTTTCCATCAGCTACACCTCTGGGCTGTTCTCGTCGATGAAGAAGGTGTCTAAATGCTATTTCACCCACAGGGCGATCCTCTTTTTCCCCTCTTTCCCTTTCATTTTCTCTCTCTCTAGTTTTGGGGAGACTTCATTCCAGTAAGCTGCCACACCTCTTATTCCTTCATTCCCTCAATCAGACGTTAAACTACTGAAAGCATTTCCTACTCAATCGGCTGGGCCCCCAGCAGCAAGCTAACCTACTAGTCAAAGTGTCTGCCTCCTGGTGGTCAGTGTGCATCACAGCGACTGGTCGAACGGTCAAACGAACAAATGGTTTGACAGCATGCTAGGCTTTTATTAGGTAGGATTTCATTGTGTGCCTCCATGTGTATAGACAAAAGTGTTCCCATACCCACAACCACTGACTTTTCTATTACAAACATATACTACATCATAGGGGGTACAGTTGCAAATAGAAAGTTTTTCTGATGGTTATGAAGACGGCGAATCAGCATACAGTAAGACAGCTGAGCTCCACTGCGTGCTGGGTACCGGCCAATTACCAGGGCCTTTGTCGGCGAGGCCCGGTGTCCTGAACCCGCCTCAGTGGATCTAAACCGGATCCGTGACCCGACCCTGCTCCTGGGAGAGCAATTAGCAACGCAGTCATTTCATAAACAACGAAGCCTCCAGAACATGTCACTGTCTCCGTCCAAATGTCTCCCCTAATTGGCTGCTCCCTTGAAGGCTGATTAGCCTGATGGAGGGCTGCCCGGCTGACCTCTGACTCAGCCCTGGAACTGAGCAAGTAGCCTCTGCCACCGCGGGCCGAGCACAGGGTCCCGCCAGGGCACCCAGCCCAGCACAGGGCATGGCCGCCCATGCCGTGACTCCAGCCAAGGGCCGCACAACTGTTCCGGAGTCACTGCCCCACCACCTGACAGGGCAGGCACTTACTAAATATTCAATGAGTTCATTACAGGTTGGCAGTCTGCATGTGGGCCCCTGCTAACCTCCTGTCTGTCTGATTTTAACACTGAAAGACTCCGATTCCATAGCTGCACCCTAATGAAGACTGGTTCGGAAAAGACAGCAGAGCAAAGCCACTGGTCCCTTAATCAGGTGTTTTTTCCTCCAGATTTCCCTCGATTTCTGTGCAGCCAGCACAGACACCCTGGGCGGGCAGCGCTGGGTGCGCCGCTGCAGCGTCTGACATACGCCTGCGATCCAGGCGGGTCACAGTCTGTGTGTTCGGGCCACTGTGTGCATTTTCCATACGGATGTGCGTTCCCGCTCACCAGGGCCGAAGTGCGCCCAGAAACAGACCACGTGCATGGCTGCGAAGGGTGCCGGGCCCGTGCCTGCTCCCAGGGTCCGATGGGCCCTCCCACTCCCCTCTGGCACCTCCTGCTTTCTCCCGGGACACTTTCCAAACCAGACTCCCGCCCATGTCCCTGCGTGTTGGATTCCCGGGAAGAGGGGGTGTGCTTCACGCGGGTCTGAAACCTCCCCATCCCACTCCCATCTCCATTCTCAGCGCACTCCGCACAGGCTCACGTGCAAAAGGCACAGCTGTGCTGAGTCAGCCAGAGCAGCCGAGTGAACACACAGGGTCCCACCAACTGCTGCTTCACTGTGAGGAAGCCGGAACCCTGCCAACGCTATCAAAGCAGAAACCACGCACTGGCAAGAGAGGCAACAAATGGCAAAACGTTAAGCCCTGGGTCCTGGGTGCACAGGGCTGCTGGCTCAGGATCAGAAAACCAGGAACTGAGCAGTGGCACGGTATACTAGTGTGTGTGTGTGTGTGTGTGTGTGTATAAAATAAATAAAAATAGAAAAACAGAAGTATATCCTAGAAGCCTGGTGCACCAAATTCATTCACAGGTAGGTTCCCTAGGCCTGGCTAGTGATCAGGGCCAATCTGCAGGGCGAATGGAGGCCCTCGCTGGCACCTGCTTTGGCTGACCTGGCACCGCCCACTTGCTGGCCAGTCCCACTCCCCAGCTGCCTCAGCCTGTCACCTCCCTTTGTGGGGCTGGGGGCAGTTCCTGTGTTAAGTGTCTGTCCCCTAGTGATTAGTTCGCATCATAGTGACCAATTGTTCCACCAGTCGTTCCACTGTTTGGTTGATCTGTATATTAGGCTTTTATTATATAGGAGATACAGATATAGATACAGATGTAGATATATAGATTGTTTTTAATTTATTTTAGAGATAAAGGGAGGAGAGAGAAAGAAACATCAGTGATGAGAGAGAATCATTGATTGGCTGCCTCCTGCATGCCCTTCACTTGGGGACCCAGCCCGCAACCTGGGCATGTGCCCTGACCGGGAATTGAGCCCTGGCCTCCTGGTTCATAGGTTGACACTCAATCACTAAGCCACGCCAGCAGGGCCACTGGCACATCTTAATGCCATCCTGAGTGCTACAATCTATGCCTCCCCATAATTAAATCATCCCAGCCCAGTAATTACTCTGCCCTCTCCCTCCCTCTCCCCCCCCCACCCCCGCCCCGCCTCTGTGTGTTCACAGCCTGGACTAAATTTAATTCCACCTGCGACTTCTTCCCCAGAAATAACCCTCCTCACACCCCCTACGGAGTAACTCCCATGGTGTCCCTCCCCTCTCGTGCTAATTCCGTTTTACCTGAATGACTTAGTGACATTCACCGCTTCCCCAGGCAGTGTGTGAATCCTGTGAGAGTCATTAGGACCCGCATTTGATTCATAATTTTTCCCATGTAAAAAAGGGTTTCTCAATAAATAATCAGGGAACTAAAGTGGGTTTTACCCCCAAATCAAATGGCACCCGTCAGCCTGGTTGTTGATAGGTTTTGTTTGCTGCAGACGTTGTTGCAACGTATTCAAACTATAGGTAAAAGCCTTCTTTGCATTTATTAAGCTCCCAACCACACATCTCTAAGATAACTGGTTGTGGGGGAACTATTTGTTGTTGCTCTGCTAACAGGACTTGAACCTACTTTCCACTTCTAAATGGTCAGCGGCCCATGTCTCTGAGACACCAGCAACCTGAACATCAGCGGCATGTGCAGTGACGCCTCCGGGAAACCACACGGCAAGATGAATACCCGCAGGGCACAGGCGAGGCACGGCCTGAGCTCCAGGTGTGTTTTGTGCTATTCTTGCCCCCACCCCCGGCCCAGTGTATATGTACCTGGCCCAGCAGGAAGGCCTTTCCTTAAAACTGGTGGAAGTGCACCGTTAGCCTTTGCCCCGGCTGGCGGCCTGAGCCCTACGTGCTCCATCATGCTAAGCAGAGACGCCTCCCTCAGCATCCTAAAAGCAGCATTTCCAAGCAGCCTGCTTCTAGCATCATAAATACTCGCCATGGACGCTGTTAGACACAGAAACGACCATCTGTCTTCCCCTACTTGCATCAAAGCTGACATTGCAAAGCGACGTTGGAGATTTTATTCCATATCCTTTACTTCATACTCTTACTCAGAAGCAACGGAGTATTAAGTATAGATCCATCATCTACTAGGATACACACTACGTGCTCACTCAGACGCAGCAGAGGATTCATTGTAGACTGATTAGCTACTAGGCTTTGAACCATCTGAAGACGGGCAACGATGAGATTGTCTGTCTACAGCACATCAAGCATACAGAGGCTGCTGTATGGTTATCATTTTATGAAGGTTTCCATGAGCCATGCTTCAGGTCGTAATGACTCAATGAGAGGGTCCCAACAAAGTTTGCTGAAAGGTTCTGTACGTATAACTGAACTCCTAGCAGGCTGACTGTTTAGAGATAGGAACTATGAACTCTTAAGCTCCAAACAAAGTATAAAAACCAACTCTCTGAAGCCCTGAGGAGACTGGTCAGAAACAAGAAAATTCTGAAGAGAGTGAGACTTGGGAGAAGGGAATGGTCTGGGCAAATTTGCAGATTTTAGAATGTTTAGTCTCAAAAGCAGACTTTCAGGCAAATACAGCATTGAAATGTCAGAGAGGAGGAATACTAAAAAAGACAAGGTCAGAGCTGAGGAGCCCCAGTTTCATGGACAAAATCCAACAATATATAAAAGGATAATATGCCATTACCAGGTAAGGTTTAACCTAGGAATGCAAAGTTGGTTTAATATAAACAAATAAAATCAATAAGATTCACCACATGAAAAATCCAAGAGAGTAACATCCTGTGTTCATTTCAATAGATGCAGAAATGGCATTCAATAACATTTACCACTTCGTCAGGATCAAACCCCTCAGCAAAACCGAAGTAGAAGTAACTTCCTCTAGCTCATAAAGGTCTTCTAATAAAAAACTTATGGATATTATCATTCTTAATGGTAAAATATTGAATGTTTCCTCCATTAATTGGGATAAGAATGCCTAATCTTCCCATTTGTATTTAAATATTATATTAGAGATACTAGCCAACACAATAAAGCAAGCTAAATACATAAAGAGCACACAAATTGGAAAAGAAGAAGTAATGTGTTTATACAGATGATATCATTATGTATATTATGTATAATTTGTCATGTCCTAAAGCAATGGTAGGCAAACTCATTAAAGCAACTTACTAGAATTAACAAGTGAGGTTAGCAAGGTAGCAGCATACAAGGCTGATATATAAAATTTTAATTAGAAGAATTTTAAATATCCATTTTACAAGTGTCAAAACATAAAACTTTTAGGAACAAATTTAACAAAAAACAAATAATCCCTTTATCCTGACAGGTATAAAATCCTGTTGATAGGAAATAAAAATCTAAAAAAAATGGAAATATATACCATGATCAAGGAAGGGCAGTCTCAGTATTCTTAAGATGTCAAATCTCCCTAATCTGATCAACAGGTTCAATGCAAATTCCTACATTATGACTGTTTAGGAACAATTCATATAATACTTAATTAACTTATATAAAATTGCAAAGGATCTATCTCCAAGAAATCCTGAGAAGGAAAGACAAAGTTGAAGGGACTAAGTTACCTAACTTGATGTCTCACTACAGAAAGCTACTGTAATGAAGACAGTAGGGTAGTAGCATCAGGGTCCGTAAGCAGAAAGTGTGAAAACAGACCTTGCATTCACAGTCATCTCATTTTCACCAGAGGTACACAATCCATGGGAAAGAAACATCTTCCAACAAGTGGTTCTGAAAAACTGAGTATCGGTATGAAGAAAAAACAACTTTTGACCTTCTATCTCACACCATCCACAAAAATTAATTTCAGAAGCATCGTAGACCTAAAAGTAAAAGCTACAATGAAATACAGGAGACTGTCTTTATATTTAACAAAAGACTTTAAAATTTCCTTGAGCTTGGCAAAGATTTCCTAATTGGTAAAAGGTAACAATCAGAAAAGGAAATCCTGATACATCAGACGTGATCAAAATCGAAAACATCTGCTTATCACAAGGCTTCATGAAGAAAATAGTAGAGGAGTCACAGACTGGTCCAAGTATTCACAAATCACGTGTCTAACAAATATGTGTCCAGGATATATAAAAGCTCCTACAATTCAATGATAAGAAGGCATCCATCCCATTTAGAATAGGCCAAAAATCTAAAAAGACACAACAGGAGAGAAATGAAAGGCCAATTAAAAAAAGCAGGCAAAACCGTCACCAGGAAAATGCAAATTACTACACAAGGAATGCCACCATATAATGCACCAGCAGACTGGCTGAAATGGAAGTGATTGATAAAGACCTGGAGCAATCACAATTGTGTGCACTGTTCCTGGAGATGTCACACGGTACATACAGCCACTTTGGGGAGGAAAGTGGGATGGGAGTAGTATGGCAACTTAAAACTAAATGCACAGCAATTAAATGCCTAAGCACTTACTCAACATAAATGAAAACATTTGCTCCCAACATGATTTGTATGAAAGCGTGTTGGCAATTTGATTTATAATAAGCCGCACCGTAAACTGCCCAGGCAAATGGACAACTTGTCGTGTACTTAGGTAACAGATTATTATTCAGCAATCTAAAAAAAAAAATACCACTACCGAGATCTACAAAATGTGCAGGAATCGTGTACATGGACTCACCAAAGAAAGAAAAACAAGTAAAAATAGTATCGGTTCAGGCCAAATCTGAGGCCAAGATTTTAGCATTAGATACAAACTTGAAAGCACCAGATAGCACAAAACAACACTTGTGCGATGAACGAAAGACAGAACCTTTTCTATAGAATGGATAACTAGAATAAATAGTATTTCGGACATTGGTGTGCTGAACCCCCTCATTTCATTCTTAATCCAGCCCTCCTCTGACACATAAAGAAACTAAAGTGGCACGAAGTGAAGTGAGCTGGCCCTCACATCGCAGTGTGCCCCGTGAGCGTGCTTTTAGGGCTCCATACCTCAGACAGTAAGGACAGGGTCACCAGGTCTGGACTGCGTGTGAGTCTGTGTGTGCCAGGGCGGGGGCGGGCTGTGCTAAGGGAACGACCCCACGGGGGAAAGATCACACACAACAGAGACGCCGCTCCCTGCGAGCAAGCCCCCGCGCCTGCCCTGGGCCTCGCTGTCTTACCTTAGGGAACTGTTTTACGGGGATTAACACTTTCTGTCCCAGCTTCATGTTCTTATTAATCACCACATCAATGTACTTCTCTTCGTCCTTTCCTTCTCCTTTCTGAAACTTTTCTATTTCTGTGGAGGAAAAAAGATAGCATGAAGCGTGTGACTCGGAACGCCGGGGGCCGGGAGCCCTCGGCAGCTCTGCGGTGGCAAATGCAGGAAGGCGGGCTACCAGGTGTCTCCGTCGCCTCCATAACTCACCGGCAGGGCCGTGGGGGAAATGCGCAGGCCACGTTAGACCTCAACTGCCCGTGCGAATGGAAGCTCGCAGACCGACACAGGCATCAGGAGAAGTTCCCTGGGACCTTCTGGAACCTGAGAGCAAGGCTGAGCCAACAGCAGCCAGCAGCCAGGAAGGGTTCTCGGGGCGGGGTTCATGGGCTCCCTGCCCGGCTCTCCCAGGCCCCTCCCCCCAGGCACTCATTCTCAGGTGCCTTTCAAAGCCCCAACCTGTCACTGGCCCGCCCCCCGCCAATCTTCCCTCCTCTCCGGGGACAAGATCAAGGATAGCCCCGTCTTTGCCAATGCTCTGCTCTCCACCTGGGATGGCATCTGCCGCAGGACTTCAGCTCCACACACACCAGCATCTCCTTCAAGGTCCGACCTCGGCAGCCGCCACTCTGCACGCACCTCCGGCCCTGTCCTCGTGGGGCAGTGGGAGCGGGAGAATGGCTCCCTCCCGCCCTGACACTCACAAAGCACCTCACACACAGCGGTGCTGGCGCTCTCCGCTGCAGACAGCGAGTCCACCAACCCCCCCCCCCAACTCATACACAGAGATCCTCACCCTCCACCCCGGATTGGATGCGATTTGGAGGTGGGGCTTCTGGGAGGGGATAGGTCATGAGGGTGGAGCCCTTGTGAGTGAAATTAGTGCCCTTACAAAACAGACCCCCTGCGAGGACACAGCCAGAACACTGCCATCTGTGAAGCTGGACGCGCCCGCACCGGACACCACACCTGTTCACCGAGGACTCGCAGCCTCCAGCTCCATGAGAAAGAGCTTTTGGCTGTCGGTGGTCTGTTACAGGAGCCTTCGCTGACTCAGATGCTCTCCCAGCGGAACCCGCATTTCTCTTAGGAAACATCTGTTTCTTCATGCAACAAACATCCACAATTAAGCACCTACTATGTGCACGCTCCAGATCTTGGAAAACGTCAGTATCATGTCCTTGACACACTGCACATAGCATCTGGCTGTGCCAGAGGCACACAGTAGGTGCTTGGATGGCTGCTGAATGGAGGTGCACATGGGAGGATTCCTCCACAGACTGACCACCAGGTACCCAGGCTCTGAGGAAAACAGTGAAGAAACACAAGGGAGTCACGATGATTGAGCTGCTCAATTACAAAAACCAGCATGCCCAGGCATGAGGAGATGACCTGCCCTTGTAGGAGCCAGCCTGAGCACTGCGACCTGGGAGCTCTGCAGTTATGCCTGCAGATCTAACACGCATGTACATATGCACACACACACTGAGTGGCCAGGTTACTATGACCACCCCATCACTACTTCGCTGGGCCACCTTTTGCCTTCAATACTGCGGCGATTCTTCTTGGCATCGACTCCAGGAGATGCTGAAAGGTGATGCGAGGAATTGGACGCCATGCCTGATGAGTAGCCCTGTCCGGTTCTGTGAGATTTGATGGTTGTGGAACCAGCTGCCTGGTGGCTCTTACTTCGTCCCACAAATGCTCAATTGGATTGAGAGCTGGTGATTGTGGGGGCCACCTAAGCAAGGTAAAGTCTCCCTCATGTTCTTGAAACCACTCCTGCACAATACGAGCATGGAGCATTGTCTTGTTGGAAGAAGCCATCTCCATTGGGATATGCCATCAACATGATAGGGTGAACTTGAGCAGCAACGATACTTAGGTATGTTGTGCTATTCAGACGTTGTTCCACACAAATTAAAAGGCCCAAATCATGCCAGGAAAACATGCCCGTCTGACAGATCACTGACTGTTCCCGGGCAGCTGGTCAGAAAGGATGCTTCTTACCCTCCACCATGACAGATGCATTCACTAAGGAATTGTTTCATCTAAGCAATCCAAACCTAACTAACTCCTATTAGATTCAGCCGGAGCTGAAGCCACCAAAACCTGCCCAGACCAGACAGAGGCACATAGCTCGCGGCCGCACTGTGCCCTTCCATGGACCAGAAAACATGGCAGAGGAGACATGCGTGTTGGTGTGTAATAAGGACCCATCAGCTCATCATAAACACATGCATGTACCATCAGGGAGCAGGCGATGGTCTGACTATTAAGGATGCCCAGAAGTGAACTTTGTTTTTTTGTGTTTTTTTAAATATATTTTTATTGATTTCAGAGAGGGAGGGAGAGAGGGAGAGAGATCCAAACATCAATGATGAGAGAGAATCACTGATAGGCTGCCTCCTGCACGCCCCCTACTGGGGAATGAAACCACAACCTGGTCATGCGCTCTGTCCAGGAATTGAATCTCGACCTCTCGGCTCCTAAGGTTGATGTTCAACCACCAGGATTATCCCTAATATAACTCAACACGTGAAGATTCGGCAAACCCACAGATTTAATCAGGAAAATGGAGCATTAGGTTAATTCAAGTTAAGGATGACTTAAGCCAGTAACTACTGGGAGTAGGGATGAGAATAACCATCAAAGGTTGGAAGGAGGAAAAATTGAATTTTTCGTGGTAGCGCCCAAGGGTTAAACCACATTTCTCACTTTTAATTGCGAACATCGTTAAGCATCCAGCAAAAGACCAGCTATCTTCGACAATTATCGGGCTCCGGAGGTCACCAATTAGAACCCTGCAAGGATTCGAATTAAGGAAAGTTTGTGATTAGGTGAAGTAATGATCCAAGGGAGAGATTAGTCCTGTTCGGGCTGCGCTCATTATAAAACCCATTTCCTGCGTGTGGCGCTCGGGTGTCCCGCGTGCCCTGCCGACGGACGCCAGCACGCTCCAGGGCCGCTCCAGGGCTGTGTCAACGATGTCCTACCTCGGCCATGGGACACACACGCTCGGCTCTCCTGCGACGCCGAGCGAATATGTGCTATTGATTAGACAGACAGACAACAGCGCAGACTGGAAGGGTGTGGGGACAGCCCCAACGACCCCAAGGAGGTAACGGTGCCACGGCTGCTTTCCATTTCCAGGTCACCTCCATCGCCACAGTCATTCCTTATTTACATGCAGAGCGTCAGAGTAATAATCCTTAAGATAATAAACCACAGTTTTCATCTGATGGTGATCAACAGGGTCACTTTCGTGAAAAGAATTCCAAAAGGCAAAGAGCAAGACCACGGATAACAGGAAGGTCCCAGGGAACACACCTACTCCACACACCTCTCCGCAGCCCCGGCCTGTGTGGCTCGATGGGCAGGACACCGTCCTGTGCCGTGCATGGAGAGGTCGCAGGTTCAGTTCCCAATCAGGGCACATGCCCGGCTGCCAGATCGATCCCCAGTAGGGGGCTTGCAGGAGGCAGCCAGTGGGTGATTTTCTCTCATTATGGATGTTTCTCTCTCTCTCTCTCCCTCGCCCTTCCTCTCTCAACTAAAAGTCAACAAAAACATTTTAAAGATAAATGAATAAATAATAAAAGGCTTGTCAACAACACCATAAAAGACATGCTAGAATAATAAACATGGCCAGAAAAATGCAGCTTAGCGATAACAGTACAAAAACGTACAAGATGTCCCCAAACTATCGTTATTTCCCTTATAACACAATATCCTAAGCTTCCTGGAAATCGCCGAAGAGGCATAAAAACACCGTTTCAAAACAAAACTCAACTGCAACAGAGACACTGTGTTTCCCCTCGGAGCTAGCCACCCTAGAAAGTTAGGACTGAGTTCAATGGTCACAGCTTCTGAGGACACATCCAGTCACTGACGCGGGCACACGGCCCGTGTCCCTGTCAGCACAGGAGCTCTGCGGACCCGCTCAGGCTGCAGCACGTGTCCTGGGTCGCTTCTCCTTACGAGCCTGACACTCTCTCTCGGGGCCATGCCCAGGGGTTTCTTAGAGGGATCTGACAGGTGAGGTGCCCATCTTCCCATTCTGGACTACGCTGTGCATGGGAACCATCCAGGATCTTAGGAGAAGTATTACACGGAAGCCAGCCCATGGCATCTGCCTCTTTACGTCTTGTCCTTCGATCAGGATGTGTTCAGTTAGCAGCGACGCACACCAGTGGGTTCTGACTGTCACAGCTGATGGCTCTGTTTTGAGGCTGATGACACAGATAACCGTTACTTTATGCAACTGCCCCTCATAGGAAAATGAGACAGAACAAAGGGGCAAGTAAAGGCAGGCATTCCTTTGGCTAAAACTTTGACCACAACTAACAATACGCATCTTGGGTTGATGCCTGACTCCCTTCTGTTCTCTTGTCTCAAACACAGGAGGCTGCCCTGGCCAGTGTGGCTCAGTTGGTTGGGCACTGTCCTGTGCACGGAGAGTTCACCGATTCAGTTCCTGTCAGGGCACATGCCTGAGTGGTGGGCTCGATCCCCAGTAGGTGACATGCAAAAGGCAGCAGATCGATGTTTCTCTCTCTCCCCTTCTCCCTTCTTCTCTCTTTAAAATCAATAAGAACACACTTAAAAAAAAAAAAAAAGTAGAATAGTTTGTTGACCAATTCTAGGAAAGAGTAACAAACTAGGATGAGAACACTAAGACTAGGAATTTAGGGAAGTGTCTGGGGACTGGTTTCAAATATTTACCGACTGTTATAGCAACAATGGAGGTCCCACACCGCCCCTGCCCCCTCGGGCCACAGCACAAACAGACACACCGCAGACCTGAAGAATTACTATTTCATGAGAGAGTGCGGGTGCACGACTGGGGGATTGTCTAAAAAGGCGCTGTGAGGGAGGAAGTCATGGGGAAAGGTTGGAAAGCATGAAGAGAAGCAGCTGAAATAGCTGAGAGCGCTCGTCCTCTAACGGATGAATAATTCAGGGGAAAGCAGGACGTCTACACAAACACTGTGTGTGTCACCCAGGAGGGAGAACCTCTGGCTCCGTCGGGAAAAGGCCAGCGGCAGAGCCTGCAGGAAAGGGGCTGCCACCCCCAGGAC